TAAAATTTTTAAATACAGTAGAGCATCGATTATCCGACCTCCGATTAACCGTCACATCAGTTAACCGACCGTGTAGTCGGCAAATTCAAATGTCCGCTAGTGATGTGGCGCTACAATATTTGGCTATGTCTTGGCTACTTTAATAGTATTTTTACGTGTTTTAGCCAGCAACATGGCTCAACCATGAAATGGTAGCCAGTATTTAAACGAGGCTTAATTTTCTAATTATGAGTGGTTGTTTGTTTTGTAAGCAATAAAATAATTTAAAAATAATTTTTAACGACACAATAACGACGATTATTATTTTAAAAAAATTTTGTTAGGCTTAACATCGATGAAAATTCAATGCAAAGTTGGTTAATAGCAATACACTAATAAACTATACTAATGTGAGCCACCGGGGGGGGGGGAAGAGGAGTCCTCTGCCTCCAGCCACTGGTCGGTGACCTACTTTATTGTCAGGGATGGTAGTAACGTTCGGTTACGCGTTACGCGAGTGGAGGAGAGTCACGGGGCCGACGATAAGGCGTTGGCATAGTCGAATAAAGACACCATTTTTCTAAACTAACAATTTATTACAGACAAATAATGAAACAAACGTTCTAACACGTTATGTCTCATTTGCGTATGAGAGAGAGAGCTTACAATAAAGCGTTCATACCTCTTGCGATGATATCGAAGGTCTTTAATTTCAGAAAAGCGGGATCCAAGTTGAGGGTTAAGATTGAAGGTCTTCTAATTTTTTGTGCGGCCGTTTAGAGGGAAGCGAATGTCCGTCTTGATGGTGCTATGGCGACTTCTTGATCAGCGACTCCCCTGAGAGGGGGAAGGAGGATGGCTTTTATACCTTTTTGGTGGGAAAATTCGTCAGGTGATCAATTGTTTTAGCAGGTGTGAGGTTAAAGGTGGTGTTAGAATGACAACAATATGACGAATTTCGCCGATAACTGTAAACTATATACAGTTTGATCGTGAGAATGTTTATATTAAAACACAGAGTTAAAATTCTCGCATGTACTTTAGATTTCGTTTTTGTAGGGTCAAATTCCTTTGGTTGAGGGCAGTTTTATTTTAAATTTATTAAACTTTTAAAGTATTAAATGCTTTTATTAACTTCGAATTTCACACTAATAATGCATTTTTTCATATTTTTCAGTTATCCGACCAACCCCCATCCCCAATTGAGTCGGATAATCGATGCTCTACTGTAAAATCATTAATATGTGTTTGAGTTTTTGAACACTTTGGTCTTGTGTTAAATAGATTTGCCATCTTACACTGCTTAACTAACTTTGTGCAAATGAAGGGTGAAGTGGTGTAGCTATACTTTTCACCCTTCATTTGCACAATGGTTTTATTTATTACTACTACAAGAAGCTACTTGTAGTAATAATAAATAAAACCATTGAAACAGATATTATCTGGACCATAGTTTCTTCAAAGTGCATTTAATACTGGAAAAATAAAGTAAAAAATTGCCAGAATAAATTCTTGCAGTTAGTCTTGGACTTTTTATGTGAATTTGTAATAAGATTTAAACAGTTCATTTCAAACATGTCTATGTAATTTAGTTAGATGAATTCTGTTTCTGCAAAGAACACAAGGTATCCTGTGAAGTATTTTTTTATGAAAATTTTTCTAATACTGAACATTTATAAAAGATTTCATAAAATGCTACTTTTCCTGTTGACACATTTGAATTTCTTTTACTTCTATTGTGTCTCTTCTCTTTTTAAGTATGAAAATAGTAAAGATTTCTTAAAGCATTTTGTACCATAGGTTGTCTGTATTTCTAAATTCTGTGCATGAACAAGATAGAATTCTATTCTTTGCAAAATGAGCTTAATTGTACAGTATTTGCATCACTAACTGAAGAGGGGGAACCTTAAAACATTACAATATGTTTACCACTATCTCATATCAAATGTATAAAAATGGGTTTGCATAAATAAAAAAAAAAACACTGATATACAAACTTAATTGTTTATTATTGGTTTTACAGCAAATTTTTAATATAATGAAGTAAAAATATACAGTAAATGGCTAGTCTATTTTTTTTGTAAGTTTATCCAAAATATCTATTAATGATCGCATCGTTTTCCCTTTCTTGCTGTAATCTTTTTTCTTTGATTTCTTTAAATTCTTCCCATCGTTTGTTCTCTCTCTCTCTCTCTCTTCTCACGCTTTTCTAGGTACTGTGAAAACCACAGTGGTGGTTCATTTGCTTTCCTTTTTGGTGTTTTTTTTGCAACAACTCTACTGGAGGAGGGGGAGTGCTTGAAGTAGCACTGTAATTTTTTTCTGGTAATTAACTTATTAAAGTTTCTGGAGAAGGAGTAATGTCAGACCTACAACCTATTGCTGCATTGAAAAAATCAAAGTAGAGCCAGGTTATAGCCCCTTCCCCAGTTTTATTTTTCACTTTATCATTAGAGAGGTTGAGGCGCACGTTTTTAACGTGTAAACGTGTACGTGTGACGCTTGGCGCCGCTTTCCCGTAAGCCTAAAAGTTTGACAATGGTGTTTGGATAGTCGGTGGAATCACGCTCGACATTCCAAACACCATCGTCAAACTTTTAGTCTTACGGGAAAGCGGCACCGAACGTCACACGTACACGTTTACACGTTTAAAACGTGCGCCTCAACCTCTCTTTTATTTCTTCTATATGTTGATAAAAGGTTTCACCACTTTTTACCACACTCTGTAGAAGGTATTTTATATCCCTGTTTTGCTAAGAGATTGGAAACCTTCACCCACAGTTTATTTTTGGCTATTGGTTTCCGAAATTCCTCCTCCATTTCCAACCTGATACTTATTAAGAGTCTGGTCATAGCATCAGTCCAATTAGCATTTGACATAAATTTCATATATTGTTTTTCAGATTTACTTAAGTCTTTATCTTTAGGAACATTTTGAAACTTTTTTAATCATGTCCAATCATTGTGTAACTTTTATCCAACAATTGTAAAGACTGTCCTTTAACTATGAAATCTTGCAATATTTTCTTACATTTATACAATATGATATTTTTATAAATATATATAAATAATTTATCATTACAAGAAAATAAGTAGAATTAAAAGTATATCTTAATTAAACATACCATCTGAAAGAGGACTCTTTTCACCCCTAATGCCTGAAGTACTTGGAACTGTTTGAAAGTTAATGAAGTCTAAGTATGAATTTTTTTGAAGTCTAATGAAGTCTAATTTTGATTTTATAACTAACGTTATAAAATCAAAATTAATTTGATTTGTTTGTAAATCAAAATTTGTTTGTAAATCAAAATTTGTTTGTAAATCAAAATTTGATTTTATAACTAACGTTATAAAATCAAAATTGGTTTACAAAAACAAAAAGAACCCGGACAGATCTATAAATACGAAAAAAGGCCCGACTAGTAGCCCTGGGATGTTCCCAAAAGTACGGAATTAATTACAAGGAGACATTTTCACCTGTGATGAAATTGGAAACGCTAAGAATCTTATTAGTAATTGCAACGCAAAAGAATTGGAAAATAAGCCAATACGACGTTAAAACAACCTACCTACACAGTAATTTGGACGAATGCATATATATGGAACAACCGATGGGATTTATTAAAGAAGGAGACAAATCAAAAATATGTAAACTAAATCGCTCTATCTACGGCTTAAAACAGGCTGGAAGAGCATGGTTTAAGACGATTACCGATCACCTATGTCAAAACGGTCTCGAACAATTAAAAGCAGACCCATGCGCATTTAAATATCAACGAGACGAAGACATTCTATACTTAGGATTACACGTTGACGATATGATAACAATATCTTCGACTGAGCGAATCGAACACGAAGCTATGGCAAAAATCGCGGAATATTTCGACTTGGTTAACCTAGGAGACCCTAAATGCATTTTAGGAATCGAAATAACGAAATTCAAAGATGGGATAAAACTGACACAACAGAGACAAAAAAAAAAGAGATACTCCAAAAATTTAAAATGGAGGATTGTAAACCAGTAAACACGCCAATGGATCCTAACCAAAAATTAGACGACAGCGAAGGATCGCCTTGCGGAAATAAGAAACTTTTCCAAGAAATTTTGGGAAGTGTGATGTATATCAGTTTAACAACGAGACCTGATTTGTGTCAGCCGAGTTCGGGTTCGAGGATTGACTTGGTAAGATTTGTCTGATCAAGCTCTCAATTTTGTCCGAATTTCTGCGGATTTACTGTGTTTAAAGTGAAACTTGCTATGGATTACGTCTACGGAAGTACAGGGGACAAGTAATCAGATAAGTTTATTGATCCAATTCCGGTATATTTTAAATTTAGGACAATTATCTCATATTTTCGGATAATAGGGTCTTAAAACTTCGATCAACCGAAACGGTTGACGGAGTTTTGATCGCATTATTTGTCTAAGTACACTACAAAAATTTTGGGGTCCTGGGGCTGTTTGTGGCTTTAAAATCGGCCCATTTCCGGTTTTCAATAGAACGCAATTTTATCGCTTCCGGTACAAGTTAACCCAATTTCCTCTGGGCATTTCTATATCATCGTCTTATGCTACCTTATTGTAAATTTTTATTATGCTACCTTTCATAGCTTTTAAACTACGGCCGTTCTCGTATCTTATTCTAAAATCAACATCTTGCTTACTTCCGTTGTTAAGACCAAGGTCAATGACCTTTGCTCATAGCAACGCCTTATAATAGAGGAAAGTGGGCATTTTAGGCTTAGTTTTAATATAAAGCTAAGACTATTATATGTTTTTGGAATTGGGAGATCAAGGGATTCAACCGTGATAGTTATATTTAGATAAAATAATTATATAGTGCGTTATTAATGCTTAAAACTTGGGATACTAAATATTATAGCAATAAATTACTTATATTATCAATTGTACATGACATATTGAATTCATATTGACATATATTTTATGATAAATATAGTGATATATATATATAGTATTATTATATTTGAATATAACTTATTATTATACATTAACATTCAATATGGAATCTTTGACAATAGAAACATTTCGATTAAACGCGCAAAAAATGATGGAAGAAATCAACAAATATGCATTGGCTAAGCCCAATGGAAGACTCGAGGTTCCAAAACATATACAATTTATTTTAGAAAAAGCCGAGAATGTAATAGAATTGGCTGAAGACACTATTACAAGCATAGAGAAAGCAATGACTCTTGAAAAGGACTCGAATTCTCTTGACAGCAAAAAGGAAATGGGAAATTGTATAAGCCAGCGAATAGTCTTAGACCCGCAAGAACTGGTTCTCGAAAGATTGGAACATATCGACAACAAAATGTGCAATTTAGACACTGCAGCTAACATTATGAACAATCAGAGAAGTTTAGCGGAAAAACTCTGTGTAATAGATGATAAAATCAGCAATTTAGACACAAAAGAGAATACGCGAATTACAGAGAGCCAAACAAACTGGAACGCTGACAGTAAAATTAATGAAATATTAATCAACCAAAAAAGTCTACAAGAAAAAATAGAACAGATGGAAGAGTACTGTCATAAGGATAGACATACCATGAAATCGTATAGCGAGGTTCTTAAATCAGGCATCCCAACTACAGGAAAACAAACACAATTTACTAAAAAACAAATGGAGGTCTTTTTACTGTATAGTGTTGACGAAAAAACTACCTCATATGATTTAAGACAGAATAAAACCAACACAATTAGGTATTGGTATAGACAAAATAAGGAACATAGGAGGAGGAGGAGTTGCGCTAGAAATAGGTAACAAGGAAGAAGCAGAAAGATTCCATCAATTCATAGATAAGGAGGTACCACAAATTAATATTAGGAAACCTAAGAAGAAACTTCCGCACATGGCCATCTATTCAGTACCATCGGAATTAACAAGGGAAGAATTAACACCATGTATATACGATCAAAACGTCAGTATAGGTGACAAATACTCTGAAACTGATTTCATGGAAAGTTTCAGAATTAAGTTTAGAATGGGAAAGAGAGGTAAACATTATAATAATTGGGTGATCCAAGTCGCACCAGAACTAAGATTGCACTTATTAAAGATTGAGAAGTTATCTATACAATGGTCAAAGTGTCGCACAAGCGACTTTTACCCAGTACTGCAATGTTTCCGTTGCTGCCGCTTTGGGCACTCCTCTTCATCGTGCAGCCAAGAGGAGCCAATATGCAGTCATTGTGCAGGAAATCATAATTACAAAGACTGTATCAATAAAAATAAACCTGCATTATGTAGCAATTGTAGGCATGAAAATCCGGCAAATTGTGGGCATAACGCCAGAGACAACAGTTCTAAAGTTTATACCAGAATTAAGAACAATATTATCCAAAGAACAGATTATGGAACATCGCAATAATAAAAACATAAGTTTTCTGCAATACAATGTTGGTAGAAGTAAGGCGGCAACAACTTTACTTGTCTCTGTACTAAATAAATTCGACTTCATCCTATTATAGGAACCGTACTGTATAAAATCAAAACCTGCGTTATTACCAAAAACCTGCACATCTGACTACCCTTGGGCTGCTTCTATAGCCCCGCATAATGACCTTTCAATTCTACACCACAGTAACATAAGTAACAACTGCACTACCTGCACTGAAATTGTTATAAACGGGCACAGGTACTTGTTCATAAATTTTTACTGTCCTAAAGATTGTAATATAGCAACCTTCATTACAAACATGCAGAGTATTATCGACACTTTCAATGACACATATGTTATCATTACTGGTGATACAAATTCACACTCTCCCAGTTGGGGAGGAGAAAAATTGGATGATCGTGGCAGGCTTTGGGAAGATTTTTTTGCAAGGAATGGGCTGCAGATAGTTAACGATCCGACATCCCCTCCAACTTTTATTTCTAGTAGAGGGGAGAGTTGGCTCGATGTAACTGCTTGTTCGCTGGAATGCCTGACTTCTGTGAAAGGCTGGAAAATTATGGAAGAATCAATCGACGACCATGCTATGATATCTTTTTATATATCCAACGATGACGATAGCAATTTTAAACTGCCTCGGAAAAAATTTAATTTGAATAAGGCCAACTGGGAGGGTCTCCAGACTTACAAACACATTTACCAATATTTGACAGGGACGACTTAACTAAGACAACACAAGCAATAGACAGCTCGATAGATATCATTATAAATGCTTGCAAAAAATACATACCAACATACATTAACAAAAACAAAACAGTGCCCTGGTGGAACAAAGAACTAAGTTCTCTTAGAGCTGAAAATATAAGATTGAGGAAAACCTATCAGGGGTGCCACTGCGAGCCTGATCGTTCCGAACATAAAAAGAACTACCTTGAACACCAAAGAATTTACAAAAATGCCATGAAGGAGGCTAAAATTCAATCATGGAAGGAGTTTTGTGAACAAGCAGGACATAACCCGTGGGGGTTTATAACCCGTTTATGCACCAATAAATTGAGAGCTACACAGATACTCCACTCTACTAGAGTGGGGCAGAACTTTGAAGAGGCAGCCAACAATAAGATGGATATCTTTTGTCTTCCGGATCCCCCGGAACAGGAAACAGACCATCATCATAGAATACGGGACAACATAACTGAAGACATCAACACCGACAACACCCCAGAGTTCCTTGCGGAAGAAATTGCCTGGACAGTAGCGAAATTAAATAACAAAAAAGCTGCAGGACACGACGACATCTCACCTCTCCTGGTTAAAAATCTATGGGCTCTCATCCCTGAAAAATTAATTGATATATACAATACATGCCTCAAATATGGAATCTTTCCAAATTCCTGGAAACACGCGAAAATAGTGCCAGTTCCCAAACCAGGAAAAGAAGGAGAATGTCGTCCTATCTCCCTCTTACCAACGCTGGGCAAGGTTTTTGAAAGGCTTCTAACTAATAGACTATTGTGGCATCTAGAAACCAACCATCTTTTACATAACAATCAATATGGGTTTGGCCCCCAAAAATCTGCGAACGAGGCTATAGAAAAGGTCATTAACAGCATTAATAGA